GGTTTTTAACAGGTATTCAGAGGACGCATATACAGGGAGAAGGGCCTCAAATAGCGACCAAAATACGAAACTACTGTAGTAAGAAATAATTTAGTTGAAAGTAGGAACTTTTGATGTATAAAACAAGAAACAACTCTCAACTGCAACTAAGTTTTAAATTAATTTTTTTCTAAAGTTTTATTTCTTTATGTTTTTTTTTTGTTGTCAAGCACAAACCTACACGATAGACTTTCAGTGCTCTGACCATTTCGGGTATGAAACCCGAATTTTAGTATTATAAGCTTCCACACTTGATACCGAGCTGTCAGGGAGGGGAGGGGCTTATATCTTTATAGTTATACTTTAAGTAAGAAATTAGTGATGTGAGTATTGCTTTTTTCTTCTTCCGAAAACTACAACAGATATAGTGGATTCTACAGCAAATACAGTGCTAGTGTCAGGATAAAGTCAAACCAACCGTAACACATCCAGTTTGTAAAAGCAGTCTTTGGACAAACACAGAGTAGATTTAAATCTACTTGATATACTAGGTTTCCTTGGTGCTCAGAGGAGGAAACGTCATTTTGTCTTTGTTAGGAGGAAATAATTATCTTCTGGGTTCTGCTACTGGATAAAGGGCACTGAGCGAGTTAGTGCACATGAAAAACCACATGTTCATAAAGAAGCTGTGCCGAAATGTAGCAACTATATTTCAGGTATCAATGTGGTCAACCTTTTGTCTGCTAAATCATCCCAGGACACTAAATCAGAAGATAATGCTTTGTTATAAATTCTAGGTCAATGTACTTTCTAACAAGGCAAGGCGTGTCCAGTCAAATATGTCTAGGTCACGATGGTGAAAGTGGAATCTTGGAAATAATGGCAAACACTATTTTCAGGAACTTGGCAAACACGTTAAAAGAAAATACTACATTGCACTGATTATTTGATCACTGATAAAACATCTGATGTATCATAAAAATGTTCCACTTCATCTCAGGTTAGCAAAAGTTTTGAAAATTTTGAGAACTTTGTTTATCTGTACATCACAGATAAAACTGATGCTTTGTTGGTCTGTACAACACAGATACAACCGATACTTTGTTTATCTATACACCACAGGTACAACTGATGATTTGTTAGTCTGTACAGCGCGTGATACGACTGATGCTTTGTTTGTCTGTACATCACAGATAAAACTGATGCTTTGTTGGTCTGTACAACACAGATATAACCGATACTTTGTTTATCTATACACCACAGGTACAACTGATGATTTGTTAGTCTGTACCGCTCTGATACGACTGATGCTTTGTTTGTCTGTACATCACAGATAAAACTGATGCTTTGTTGGTCTGTACAACACAGATATAACCGATACTTTGTTTATCTATACACCACAGGTACAACTGATGATTTGTTAGTCTGTACAGCGCTGATACCACTGATGCTTTGTTGGTCTGTACAGCACTGATACCACTGATGCTGTGTTGGTCTGTACAACACAGATATAACCGATACTTTGTTTATCTATACACCACAGGTACAACTGATGATTTGTTAGTCT